GGGGGGGGGAGACCAAAAGGAAGAGGGATGAGTCGGAAGATGAGGAAGATGAGGAGCATTCATCGGGAGAAGATGAAAAGGAGAAACCCTCAGCAGCGAAGAAGATCGAGGTGAAGGATGTTGACGATGAGGACGAGGACGAGGATGGGGATGATGATGAGGATAACGACGGCCCTATACAACGCGGAATGGCGACTTTCGGAAGCATTGGCTGCCGTAGGGAGAAAGAACCATTCATGGATTTCATGCGGATATATCTTTCCAAAGATCAGCCTAAGGCCAAGTCAGCTAGCTAGCCGGGAATGATGAAAACTATACCCAAGGCCAGAATCCGGGATGGAACTTCGTCGCCATCCTATAAAGTTCGACCTGAGAGTCTTTCAGAAGCCAGAGTTCTTGTACGAGGGCGGTCTGAAAGAAAGATTTTTACCGGGTAGAAATGACCTGGCGGCGCTCGTCAACGGGTCACCTCTGACTGATGCAGAAACCGAATCGTGGCAGCCAGATAAAGATTCGGAAACCTTCTGATGGTGGTTTCAGAATAAGGTATTGGCGATGGCAGCTGTACTTAGGAATGAAAATGTGGAACCCATAGAGGGTATTGTGAGCAGGCATGGTTTACTGAGTATAAAAAACGAGAGACGCCGAAACATGGCATCTCACGATAATCGTGGTAGCGAGCTTCTATGCGTGGCTGAGCCAACGCAGGAGTAGATTCACCTCGCTAAGATAGTAGTGTCGTTCGGAATCGCAAATGTGTTGTATTGCAATTGGTATGCATGAAGATTCCGCCTTCAGGACAGTCATAAACATTTGTTTCATGAACTTTGGATGCTCAATTTTCATTCCAAAAGACATTGCAATGGAAACATATTGATTCTTCTAGCCAACTCGCTTAGTTTGATATCACAATAACAACAAGAGCACTTCACTTGTTAAGAGCCATACGTTGTATAAGATATTCCAGGACATCATGTATTTTTATGGTAATCAAACAGATTTACATGCTGTGCATACTCTGGTTGATATAAATCCTGATGCAGACACCAGTTCATTGTGAATCAAGGCCCTTTTGAAACGCTCGCATTCCAACATGTTAGACTAAACTCTGCCAACAAGAGCCTGATTATAACAGCGTAGAAATAGAAAGTGTAAAACTAAAGGGCGAGGAAGAATACTTTCGATGGAGCATTATGACAACAAAATAGCGGGATTGATCATTGTCATAGCTAACAGGCTTGGACAACGAATAAATAAACGATTTCCCTTGATCAAACTGCTGGTAAGGTAGAATATTGGTTGTGTGGTGCAGACGACGTTTGTAGCAGATTTGTTCGGGTATACCTTTTGAATAGTGTGGTGGGAATTATCATCTTGGTAGATATTTGATAAACGATCCAATACTCTTAATATTCGATGGAGAAGAGCGGCGAGTTGATAGTCAATTCCAGGAATATAATTTCAGGTTGAATGACTCCTCACACGTGACTCGGCGTCTGTTGTGGTGCGCACGGGGCAGATACGACGCGCCCCAAAATCAACCCCTCGAGCTATCTCGAAGCACCAGCTGCAGCATACAACAAAGCACAAGATCAAAGCCTTAGCCCTCAGTGACTCGATGGCAACTGGAGCTTTTACCTCGATTTCCCCCCCAAGAACCGCGTCGAGTTATTCCCACCTAATCACGAACCATGAATCCTGACGGCTTGCTCACGAACCTTAACCAGTCTCAGCAGGCTGCTGTATCCTCGTTCGCAGACACTCTCGCGATTTTGGCTGGCCCCGGAAGTGGAAAGACGCATACTTTGACCTCGCGGACAGCATGGTTACTTGCGCAGGGCCTCCAGCCGTGGAACGTAATCGTCGCAACCTTCACGGTCAAGGCCGCGCGGGAGATGAAAGAGAGAATTGGGAAGTTGATTGGAAATGGAACGGAATCGAAACTCATACTGGGGACCTTTCACAGCATTGCGCGAAGATACCTGGCTCGATACGGACATCTGATTGATATCAAGAAGGATTTTGGAATTGCGGACAGTGCAGATTCTCTGGCGATCATCAAGCGTATTGTGAAAAGGCATCGCTTCATGATAGATGCAAAAGTTGTCCGATCGCGAATCAGCGGATTAAAGGCTCGTACATCCGTGGACCAAGAAGTCAAATCCCAAAAAAAGTTTGGCGCCAAGATTGTAGAAGAGCAAGAATTCGAGAAGTGTTATGAGGAATACGAAGAGGCCCTACGCAGATCAAATCTGCTCGACTACGACGACTTACTCCTTCGATGTGTCGACCTCCTCCGAATGCACCCTTCCTGCGTATCTAATGTAGAAGCTGTCCTGATTGACGAGTTTCAAGACACCAATTTGGTGCAGTTCGACCTGATGCGACTTTTTGCTGCCCAGCGAAAGAGAATCACTATTGTCGGCGACCCAGACCAAAGTATCTATGGCTTCAGAGCAGCAGAGATCAAGAATTATAAACGTATGCTTCACCAATATCCGGACACGGTTACAATAGCTTTGGAGGAGAATTACAGGTCCTCAGGGGCGATTCTGATGTCGGCTTTGAGTGTTATCCAACAGGACAGCTCGAGAGTTGCAAAGTCACTCCTAGCAACTCACTCGCCAGGTACGAGACCTGTACTTCGGAAATTATCAGGGGCGCAAAAGGAAGCTCATTGGATTGTGACGGAGATACAGAGGATCAGGGGAATGACGGGAGAACTTCTAGACTTGAACGACTTCGCCATATTGTTGAGGTCTTCTGCTTTATCCCGGCTGATCGAAACTGCTCTGGGTAAGGCTGGTATCGCATACAGGATGGTTGGTGGCCAGCGATTCTATGATCGACTTGAGATCAAAACTGTCCTAGACTACTTGCGAGTCATCAACCAGCCGGACAACAATGATGCTCTCGCTAGAATCATAAATACCCCTTCCAGGAGGATTGGCGAAGCAACCATTAAAGACTTACTCGAAGAAGCAGACCAGTCCAAGATCACACTGTGGACATTAATACTCAATATCGTGCAACGTAAGCGAACGACGAAGACGAAGCTGAAGAACAAACAGGAGCAAAATCTTGCAGCTTTTGTCAACATCATTTTGATGGGAAGAAGCAAGTCGGCTGGCCCTCCAGATGAGCGATTGTCTACTTCCGGGCTGATACAGTTTGTGCTCGCGAAAACAAGTTATGAGAGATGGCTCGAGGAGCACCACGGGGACGAGAATAAAGCCAGATGGGACAACGTCCAAGAACTAATCACGCAAGCCAATGACTTTGAAGATCTCATATCATTTGGCTATGAGGATGAAACTCTTCCGGAAATTGATGGCTTGAAGCAGAATGACGATGCCGATACACTTTCAAGGTTCCTGGCGAACGTGGCCCTTGCCTCGGAAGTAAAGCCAGAGGATGCCGAAACTGCCACAATAACCCGAATCACAATCTCGACAATCCATGCTGCGAAGGGTCTCGAATGGCCTGTTGTGTTTATCCCGGCCGCCTATCAAGGCTCAATCCCACATTCTCGGGCCGAGGATACGAATGAGGAACGAAGACTCTTATATGTAGCTATGACGAGAGCCAAAGCTTTGCTGTACATGAGCTGTCCTATTAAGAGTACTTCGAATGAAGACACGATTCTTTCGCCCTTCTTAACGCCGCCAGGACTCGCTTCACTGCTGGACGCAAAAGGCCCATCGCTCGGGTCGCCAGCAGTCACGGATTTGGCACAGATCCTAAGACGAAACTTGCCATCTCGGAGATCAATTGAGAAATCATCTGCATCACTCACTAGCACAGAAGACGACCTGTTTCCGGAACGCGGCGAAGAGAAAGAGTCGGATCAGGAGTTGAGATGGAATTCTATGACAGCAGGGACCTCAAGCTTCATGGCGGGACAGCAAGCCCCTAAGCGACGACGAGCTGAGCTGGGGCGATCCATGAGTAACCTCGAAGGACCCGAGAGGGATTGGAAACCTTCTTATGCTACCACCATGGACCGGGCTGCGAGCTTTACAACGGCTGGATTTGTGACGGCAGGTTCGCATCTGCAAGTGCTAAAGGAACAATCGGTCAATGGCACTTTGAACGACGAGCAAGACGCAGAAGATTTCGATCGGGGGAAGAAGAAGCCCAAACAGACAGGCAGACTTCCGGAAGGCCAAGGGACCTTGTTTGGGTTTTTCGGTAAATCGGAGCCCCAGGTCAACAAGCCTGTTCCCATGATCAAGGAAACGGATCCGAAGCCTCGTGCCCCAATTGTTGCGAAATCATTTAATCAAGCACGATCAAAATCCACCACATCGGAACATGTAGGCATAGCTACCGCACTTTCAAACCATCGCTTAGGTAACGGGACATCGGGAAATCGCCTCCGACAGAATGCTCAGCTAGACGTACAATCCCACAGAAACGATTATGTGTTTCTTTCAAGTTCGCCACCAAGGCCTAATCCTCCTTCTCCTACTCACCAGGAAAAGAAACTCTCACCTCAACCCCCACCACAGCCCGCGGGTCTCACAGCCAGGCCTCCCATCCTGAACAAGATTCGTCCGCCGATCATATCGACACACCAGACGACAGTTTCCATGCTGCAGAATGGGAACGTGAATGGGACTGGAGCGCGAAAGACGTTGGGGGTGCGCCGGTCTATGGATGGGTGGGCGAGTCGCAAGGGGCAGAAGCAGAGCTTCAAACCCCCTACTATGCAACGCCCTTGAGCGTTGGTGATGATGTTATGTTGTTGCTTCCGACTAGGGGTGTTTGAACATGGCAGTAAATGTTGCATATTCTGTATTTGGCTATTGCTTGCTTGCATGAATGCATGGCTGGCTTCATCAAGGAAAAGGAGTTTCGGGACGTTGGGAGGATAGGAAGGGCATGCTCATCTGTTTTTAGTGCAGATACATATCAATCATTCAATCAAAAGCACCGTGGTCTTTTTTTCATTTTCAGTTTTTTCTTCCTACTTTTCGTTTTGAGAAGAGAGCAGTAAACGCAGAGCACACTCAGATCCGACCTGGTCGGTCGGCTCTTTACAAAAAATACAAAAAATATAGATAGGTACGAAGTAGGTATACAAGTAGGTCAATAGATAAAACCAAAAACAACCCCCTTCTCTTCTTCTTCCTCTTCTTCCTCTTCTATATATAAATAGATGGATGGGACCGTATATGTAATATGTATATATGAATGAAGTACTGGGCATAATAAATAAACCACCCGCTAAACGATCCAATGATAAATCCATCCACCTGACCCATCCATCATCCAACCTGACTATCTCTCTCTCTCTCAACTTATACACGCACATATAATATAATATACACACTTTCCATATCCCACAAGTCCTAGCTTGGCCAACGGGAAAAAAACCTTCCCTTTTTTACCATCTGAGATTTTTGGAAAACCTTGCGGAAACAAACTATTCTGCACACACCTTTTCTTTTTTGCTTCTTCTTCTGCTCCGTAAACCTTGGAACCTTTTGACATGAGAAACAAAGACTTGAAAATGTAAACTGAAAGACATCGACTATCGATTATGATGTTTTTCTCTCTCTGTATCCATCATACCTACCTACCTTAACCCACGAAACCTACCCACTACTCACTTATCCATTTCCCTCCTTTCTACATTCCATTTCTGAAAAACAAAACGAAATAAGACCCCTCGATTTTTTCTATCTTATAAAAGTCTGATCAAGTCGTTTCGCATCGTATAAAAACACCGTCTTATATCGAAACAATCCGGAACATAAAATATACTAAAGAGAGAGAAGGAAAAAATGTATGGGCGGGGGAGGGCGTGGGGGGAGGGGGGGAGATAAGGACTCCGATTAATTAATAATATATATCTCGAAATAAAATAAAGATGGATCAGAATAGATGGTGATGATGATTGACAGGCTCGCTTTAAGGCGGGCGATGATGGCTTTATTCAATAAGAGATTGTCGATCGGGCCATGAAAAGAAAAAAAAAAAGAAAAAAAAACAATGAGAAAGAAAAAGAGCCATTGAAGCTCCAAACGTAACACGTATTGGTTGATTTGTTGGCCTTTTATCGCAACACCAGGCTGAGCTACCACGACCCAAATGCCGCAAAGAACGCCGTGTTCATGTCCTACCAAATCCTGCTGCGTGTAGCATATCCAGCCGCGTCCATATGTCACCAGCTTAATCAAAAACTTAGCAACCGTTTTAGATGGCTCTCTTTTGCTATATAGCATATCTTAACCGCATCTATATATCACTTCTCTAATCAAAACACTTAGCAACCGCTTCAGATGGCTCCCCTTTTTTAATATGGCATATCTTAACCGCGTTTATATATCACCGTCTTAATCAAAAACTTAGCAACCGCTTTAGATGGCTCCTCTTCTGCCATATAGCATATCCCAACCGCTTCTATATATCACCCCCCCAGTCAAAAACTTAGCAACCGCTTCAGATGGCTCCCCTTCTCGCAATTGCTGGGTATGGGCGGGAATCGACCTTTGTTCTTCTCAAAAACGCTCAGTATCGATTTTACCGCATAATAGTACGACTCTGCGGTTCGCTGAAACCCTAACTTGCTCCACTCCTCTTCATCCACCGCACCTTTGATTTCGTTCCAGAGGGTGCGCCAGTTACGCAACGCTAGATGATACGGAGCGGTCAAGGCCGGGATGTTAGTTCTCGGGAGCGACGCGAGTGGATTATTAAAGGTTGAAGACCAGATATGGAAGTATAGGAAATGCATTAGCATTTGAGCATCTCCGAATTTCAAGTTTCTGAGGGCGTTGAGTTCGCTTTCCGCGCCTTCTGGCGAGAACAGGACGAGAAACGCGTCTTTGAGCTTTATACCGTAGCGTGGAATTTCGGCGGATTTTGCGACCATCTCTTCAAAGCTGGAGAGCTCGAAGAATCTCTCGTCACTTGGAAAGGGGAGATCGAGCTCTGCCCACTGGAAGCAGGGAGACACATTATTGAAGATACCGAAGGCGTGGTCGAGCATAACTGCGATTGTTCCCGTCCTGTCAAATATTAGGGTGGTGATCGCGCAGCTGTCGGTTGCACGTACCGGATGAAAGATTCCTTTCGAATCCAAGCTCCGAAAGAAGCCTGGTCTTTTATTTCGTCTGTGGGAGAATGCTGCATGGTGAGCACTTCTAAATGGTGGAAAATCTGCTCGAGTCAGCAGAGGGGTCCTTGCTTTGTGTCGTCGGTACATACCTGAACAACTCTGGGGAACCGTTGTTGTCGCACTCTTATTCTTGCAGTCGGGTTGCCAGTCCAGTATTGCAGGACAATGATGAGATAGGCGCCTTGCACCTCTTCTAGTTGATACTGTTGCAGACCCGGAGACGCGATCTCTCCTAGCTTGACGTAGCTTCGACCAGGCAGTTCGTACTCATCACCCACGCCAGGAATCGAGTATATGTAGCATTCCATGGTATCCAACAAGCTCTTTAGCCTAGCAACATCGTCGGGTTTTGGCGAATACATGGCGCCAATGCTCATCACGGAGATTACCAGGGGAAGTGCAGCAGTGCATGGATTGAAGGTAGCCCTATGTACCATGGGGGCATGCTTATGCCAGTGCCTGAAGTATAGTCTGACGTATGTCGTAATATTCTCGGCAGTCACCATCTCAATCGCCTCAACAACCTGCTCGGACGGCAAGAAAGGCGGGTTCTGAGCAGCCGCCGCATAATTCAACTTCTGTCTTATGTCGAAGGCTCTCTGGGCCAAACCTCTATGGTCTGGAAGCATCACATTTGCGCCGGACCAGAGTAGCATGTCATCCTCACTGGGCATCTCCCAGTGGTTTGTCTGCTGCTGGAAATTCTGGAATTCGAGGCGATCAAGGAACACTTCCAGCTGGTCCGTCTGCCCTTGATATGCTTGATAGATATTTTCTGGTATGGCAACTCCTCCAGATGACTGACTATTCCCATCCATCGACATCACCCTCGCCAGTTGTACCGGATTGACCATGGGACTCTGTGCTGTCGACTGAGGGAATTCTCGAATGAAGTCTTTGTCGCTGGGACAGTTGAGGAGGAACCCTATGGAATTTCGGTCGGAGGATAGTTCTGGAGTCGAGCGGCTGAGCGGCGATTGCACTCGCGTCTGTTCTGGGCTCGAGGCCGCGCCTGATACTTCCACGGTATAAGCACTGATATGAACATGAATATTGGCATTAGCCCATCGCTAGACATCATTACCTGCGTTCCGAGACTTTGTACATATCCTCCCGAATTCCGTACATTTTCTGCAAGGAACGTTGTTGTCGCATTTGACCTTCAGTCGCGAACACTCGTCGCATGCGTGTCGCTTTCTTCCTCTCTCCAGGGAATTAGGAATTGCAGCGGTTCCTCTGCGATCGCACCTGCTGAAGTGATCTCGTAGGACATCACTGAAGACACGAGATGTGTTAACACAGACATACACGTTCATGCCCGAGAGGGGGAAGGGTGGTGGTTACTCATACCTGCGCTTGAAGGTCTTCGCGCAAAATTTGCAGCTGTATGGTCGATCTCCGGAATCTGTGTGTGCATCACATCTGATTAGAACCAGATCCACAGGACTGACTGTCTGCCTGTCTGTAATGCTTCGTAGAGCGTGCGTACGTACGGGCACTTACGCTGCTGTTGGTGTCGCAACAAGTGGGCTCGGCGCTGAAATCTTTTGCCACATTGGTTGCAAGTCGACAGGCTCTGAGCCTCCATCTCGACATGCCATGGTGGGAAGAAGGTGGGAAAGGACCATGTGGCGGGGGGGATGGCAGATATATGATGGACGAAGTACGGTATGTGCGAGCGAGTTGGGGGTTGAGTCAAGACGAGTCGAGTCGAGTCGACAGCCTTTTTCTGTATTGTGGGGGTGTTTCTCTTGTTGGTGCACTGAATGCGCTTCCTTGCCTTTCTTGATGATTGATATGCTTGCTGTGCCGTTCAGCCACAGACAGGATTGAGGGTGAGACTCGGCCCGAGAGGACCGGGACCGGGACCAGGACCGGGGACCGGCTCGGCTACTTACCCACTCGGGCCTGCACTGCAGATAGGTAGATGCACGAGCCAGTCACTCAATCAGTGTTGATCATACGGAGGTACCGTATGTCCCCATGTCGAAAATCATCTCAAATATACTGTAGACTCTTCCTGATGTATATATATATATATGTATGGATGTATGTATGTATGTATGTATGTACATACATTTTAAGCATCATTTATCCATGGAACGAAAGTTTCAAGGCTTGGTGATCCAAGATCTCCAGTAATATGCCATTTCTGCCAATCAATAGTTTCGCTCGAATATTTTAACAGCTCTTCCTTGGTTTCAAAGCATTTAGACCATAATGCCAGATCGTTTCCATTTACTGCATCAGTTGGAATAACCATTTGCAACTCCCAACCCATGTTTTCGATATATGAGAAGCGTAGCGCTCTTCCGGGGTGTCTTTGTACAGATAACTTAATATAATCTTCGATAGCGACTTCGCCTCCGTGCCATAGGGCAACCTCTTCAAGCTTTCCAGGTCGAATCTTTTTTTGGTAGTATCCTGGAATATATACTTTGCGCGCATTTGCAAACATATCACTATCCGCTTCGACAACACAATGCCAATTCTCTACCGATGGACTACCTGGCCAGAGAGCAGGTTTTTGTGCTATTTGAATTATTACCTTAGCGTAGTAAGTAACGATCTATAGATATAGTTTAACTCACTCAGAGATAAGCCACTTCCTAATTGATTCTCAAATTGGCGTGCTTGATCGAAACCTTTAAATCTTAATGGCGTATTATTTTGATTGATATAGTCGGCTTCTTGCTACAATTTGAGTAATTAATATAAGCTTACATTCTATTAATCAAGTGATACTTACTGCGGAAACTGTTCGATAGCCGATAATTTGTCTTCTTATTTCTCTTCTTAAGAAGAGTCCATGAGCTCTATTAAAGAGAAAGCTGAAGGCTAGCAAGATCGTGCAAAGACATTTCGATAGTGGCATCGTATTTGCAAATATCCGAAATAGTTTTAGAGATGTTTCTGGGAGCTTACGAAAGGGGACAAGCTTGCAAAAGAAAAGGGTAGTGAACAGGATTACAGTTTCACTCTGTAGTAGGTGCAAGAGGGTATATATCTCTCTCTTAAATTGGTTCTAATATCTTATTTTACTAAGATAAGCAATTAAACCGTAAGTATATTAATCTTTCTATTCTTGTAGGTATTAAAGATCATCCCAAATACGTAGTACCAAGTCGTTACGCTCGGCTAATTCTTACTAATAAATTCGACTTCCTATTTAAAATTATTTTCGACAACATGAGTGCAGTGGTGAACTTTTATTGCCAACGGTGCCAACCACATACAACTAATACTCTCCCTAGATAAATGTAATACGGAGTCTTTTGTGAGCCGACTCCAGGGGGTATAGCAGGGGTATATCTGGGTGTAATAGTGGAATATACAAGGGTTGTAAGCCAATTGAAATAAAGGCTACATACAGTAACATCACTTACGGAGGTGCCGGGGGTAAATTACGGCAGACCGCCGACGGCAGAATCATCGGCACAAAAAACAAGAGTGGCTCTCCCATCATTATATTTACTATAGTAATGTACTTGATATTTAGTGGACTTTCCTATCGAATTCGTCAAATTATCAGCAAAATTCATTGTTGTTATCTTGAATTTAGCGTATTTCTTATATAAATTTTGGACGCGATTGATGCTGTGGAAACTCTTGTCGCTGAAGGCGGTCTGCCATATTTTACCCCCGGCACCTCCGTATCTTTCGTCTCGCTTACTTGTGGAATCTTTTCTTTTTTCGTGGTATTTTATATATTCGATCTAATTTTAATCTATTGATAGTTCCAATAGATACTAATCAGTTATCTAATTCACCGATTCCTTCACAAAAGAGCTTTTCTACGAGTTTTGCTTCTTCAACATCGAAAAAATTACGTATATTTGTTGTTGTTGTTGTTGTTGTTGTTGTATTTATTAACATCGGGCGGGTATCCAAAACGCAATGCTTGGACCTTGGGGACCTCTTATAAGGTACCGTGACGTGCTAAGTAAAGGAATTATATATAAAGTACTATCTAATCGAGAGTAAAAACTACGTTGAGGAAAACCTTTGGTTAAATAGCTAAACACTTGTAAACCTTTTAAAAGCAATTTATAGTAATGTGCGTCGAGTTTTCTTTCGATAACTATCGAATACATATAGCCTTACGGGCGGCCTCGATCCGTATAATATAAACATCGTTCTTTTTCGTCGTAGAGCTAAAAAGGCTCGCGTTCGTAGCTTTTAGATAAAGCCGGTGTGTTTGCAGAACGCTCTTTCGAAAGCGCAGTACCGTGTTTTCGATCAATCGAACTAAGCCTTTCCTATCCTATCTTTTATACACGTTCTTCCTCTATCGCAAATCTTCTTGATCTTTTCAATCGGTATGCCCGTCAAGTATAGATCGTAGTCGACGTAGTATTCGAGAAGAAAGAAAAAGGAGGTTCGGAATCGCTGATAAAAGATAATCTCTTCGAAGAGACGTCGCATATCGATAATTCAATTTCGGCTCTCTAGACTTTTTATCTCTTTTTCTACCGCAAGAGAAAGAAAGAAAAAGAGCTGAAGGTTCGTAAAGGGCACCTCGTGTAGCCCCCCCCCCCCAAAAAAAAATTACGTATACGCTCGAAAGAAACTGCTTTATTTAGAAAAGATATTTTCTATTTGTTTGTAACGCTTAATCGATTTCTTTCAAAAAAAATTTCGAGAAATAATATCGGAGGCTTAAGACGCTATTCTTGATAGCTACATTGAATCTTTATACGAACCGTAGTGGAAGCGTTATCAAGCTGTAATCGATGCTTAAGGAGGGCCAACTCCGTACTACGTACTACCCCCTCCCATGAATAAATGTCGAAAGTACAATTTCGCAAGGGATCTTAACAGGGCTTAAACCAATCAACTTACGTAGTATAACGATTCAGTTTTGAAAAGTATCTTTGAGCCAGTATTTAGTATATACAGTGGAGTCGACAGGGCTTTAAGCCATTAAGAAACCACCGCTCTATGATTTATGGGCCTAAACTGGGTCCGACATTTATTCAAGGGGGGGTAGTAGTAAATAGAATCTTACTCGATTGATGTTTTATTTATTCTGATTGGCTTAAAACCCTTGTATACTCCACTATTACCTTTACTATACCCCTTGCTATACCTCTTGGAATCGGCCTATAAAAGACCCAGTATTACATTCATTGAGAGTATAAGAAGCTGTTATATCGCTGGTCAAATTATCATTCGAATTCGTCTTTTTTTTCCCTCCAAGAAAAGAGACTCTTTCATTACCATATCTGGCGTGTCTTGCCAATTATTGTCTCCTAGCCCTGCCTGATTCCGGAATGCTTCCAGAAGAGGCCCTTTATCTGCTTCGAGAAAAAGCAACGGAGTTTCGGCACAACGCCGGCCCTATTATTGGCCCCACGGAATGTCTTAAAATGTTGGCTCCCTCAAGAGGAAGGATCTCGGTAAAGAGCGGATAAGTTGCGCTTACAAGCCACCGCCAACAGCTTCCGTTTCTCATTCCCTGCTCGCCTGGCTATCCATCCGCTGATCACTACACGCTTCTGGGCGCAGTCCCAACGCGATTCTTCCATGTTGTCTCGCTCTTGAACTCTTGTTGATGATATGGTACTCTTGGCATGCTTGTTGGATTGCTGCTGCTGCTGCAGGGTCTCGCCACGGTCGTACGATCGCCAGTAGGGGCTCGCTCGCTTACGGGGCCTCTGTTGGTTTCGTTGTGTTTGTCGGCTGAGGGGGACCGTTGGCAATGCTTGCTTCGGCATTTATTGGCAAGTCCTTTCCTTTCCTCTCCTTCCCTTTCCTCTCCTTTCCTTTCCTCTCCTTTCCTTTCCTCTCCCGGATCAGGCTCATCAGGCCAATCTTTACTAAGTACGCCAAATCGATCAGATCTAATGTCTTACATCCAGACACTCCTTCTTGATCAGGCTGGTAGCTGGCTGGCTAGCAATTACTGAGATTGAATCATTAGATGGCGGCCAAATAACCTCCTCACTTCCCAGCGGCCAGTAACGTTGCTTGCAATGTTGGAGATGTTGCGAGATGAATCCATGTGAGACTTTTGGCTAGCCATCCAACTTTATGCTCATACTGACTGTAATCCTAGAGCTGAATATCTCAATCTCGAGGCTTTGGAGTCACCTGTGCCCAGGGCCAGCGATCGAATATTTAATACTCGGATACAGATTGGAGATGTATTATGAAATTCCGCCACTTTTATCATTCAGAATCGCCTCTTCGCTCAGAGCATTGGCTTGGAATCATGACTTATTACCTTTCGTAGCGCCCCCGAATTTGCAGCGTCAAGAAAATATCCTTGAATAACAACATCGAGTCAAAATGTGACTCTGAATCAACGAGATGACAGGAAAATAGTATGACTACCTCCTCGGTCGACTCCACGAAAGTATTTCTCCTTCATGAACCACCATTAAGATCTTCGTACTCCAGTCTCACAAACAGCATCATTTCTCGGACCTCAACAACAGACATGACTATCGACCACTGGCAATCTCCGCCCTTGATATCGCAATGTTTGTGACAACTTTCTAGCCCGGAATCTACTTGCAAACCGCCTTGTTCCTGCTCCTCTAACTCGCTACTACAATCTCCGCAGCGAACAATCTCATTCTACTGAACAGGTAGCATGGTAGTGAAGCTCCGGACACGTTTGCATAGAAAAATGGCGTCTGTTCACGACGCGGTCGTATCCTCTATGAAGTCTCGCAACGCGTCACACCTATCTCTTCGCGTTTCCGCAAGAATTCAAGAAAATATGATTTCATTGAAAAAAAAAAAAAAGAACCTAGTTATCTATGTCCGTCCATCCATCCTAGTCCTGCCATGCCGAATATCCTTCAGAACTAGGAAAATGTCAGTCTTGCCCGAAATGAAATTGCGAAAGCCGAAAAACTCACTTGCATCTTAAGCACGGCCTCGAAGGCAGCGAGCTCTTTCTTTGCTGCTGTCAATCTTTTTAATATCAATTAGAATCTCGGCAGTTAATAAGAGAGAATGTTTGATATCCCCGAAGCTGCTTGATGAAGTGCCTTTTCTTCGCTCGCTTTTTTCATGAGCTCCTTCTATCGGTCCAAATCCTCAGGCGTTTGAGGACAGACTCGTTTGATGGACGGGGCCGAGGTGGTCTTTCGTTGTTTGGATTTGCGGGGTTGAGCTGCTACCAGGAATGCACTTTTTGAGACTAGCACATCCCTTTTCCTAGGTAAAGTTCAAATACGAACTAGTAAACCGAAATCAAAAGTCTTAGGATTCAGGACAAAAGTACTAGTAGAACGATAGAATATGGAGGAAAAAACTTACGAGGTCGGATTTCTTGTCGTAGCGGCCGCTCCCGGGGTGTACGGGCAAATGCGCTTGTTGGGCGGAATGACTTTCTGCTGCTTAACCTTACGGCTAGCACGCGGCGCCAGGATCATTGGGCGTGTCAAACCCGCTGCGAACTTCTCGTAGAGTTTAAATACGAATTAGTAAATCAAGATCAAAAATTCTCGGAATTCAGGGAAAAAAGTCAAACGATAGAATAAAGAAGAGAAACTCACGAAATCGGATTTACGGAATCATCGTGGCCGCCGCTACCGGCGGGGTTACGAGGTGCGTTGGATTGAGGCTAAAATATATTAGCCAAATGTCGCGGGGTCCAAGAGAATTGAAATAGGAAACGAAGAAGAAGAATGTAAAATTGCAAGTACCATCTCGAAGTGAGCTTTGATATGAGATGAAAACTAAGTGAATCCAAGAGAGGAACCTCACTCAAGTATTCAGTTGTTATCACAGGTAAGGTTAGTGAGAATTACGAAGTGTAAACAAGACTCAGCCTTATACGTAGTACATTGGGGCCAAGGGCTCTGCACCTAGCGTACACGTGCCCAAACATGTAAGCGAAAGGTTTGAATGCTATTCCAACACCTGAAAAGAAAACCCCTATATTTCTCCATCTACCTAGCCAGCGACCTAGCGACCAGCAAGTTTGCCGTCTTCTAGTGCCCATGTTGCCCTACTCGTAATACTGCTTGCCATCCAGTCTTTCTATTAATTTCTATCATCCTATCCCGTCTCTGAACCCCTTTTCTTTTTTTCTTTATTTTTTTCTTTCTTTTTTTCTTTCTTTTTTTCTTTTCTTTTTTTCTTTTCTTTTTTTCTTTCTTTTTTTCTTTTCTTTTTTTCTTTTGTTTTTCTTTCTTTTTTTCTTTAATTTTTTTCTTTAATTTTTTTTTTTTTCGGGTCCGTACTTCAAGATCCTAGGGTAATCTTTGAAACTGCTCTAGAAGCTCCCACTCGAGTATCCACTGCTAGCAACCACAACAAGAAATGGCCAACTTCGTAAGTTACAACTTGGCTCTCGTCACCATAGCTTCCTTCTCCCTCTTAAATTAAAGATAGACACGTCATCAAACCGCGCGTTGCAGACCGCCGCTTTATTTTAAGGTACTGTTTTGTTTTGTTTTTTGCGTCGCGAGTGCGTGACTTGCGAAGAAGCTGCAATCGTAAAGGTAACAGAAGAAGAAAAAACGGCCTCCTTCCTTTCCCAAGAATCCATTTTCATTAACAACTTTCGAACCACTTCTGCGACAGTAGATTTCTTTTTGGGCACTTTGTTTCTTTTTGTCATTCGGCTTTGGTCAGCGGTTGATTTAATCACTGGGCAGGAGGTGGACTGTTTGCTGTTTTCTTTTTTCTTCCTTTTTTTTTTTTTTTTAAGGCTTGCCAGGGAAACAGCCATGGTTTTTACGTGGAAGCAATATCCGTAGGTAAGGGCAGTACGGATTCCTAGATCGTCAAAACCTTTTTCTCCACCTCAGCCGATAACCTGACATGCATTGAATAGGCCATCGGCAACCTTTCAGATGCTAAGTATCAACTATTCCGACGATACTGCCCCAGCTCTGTATGCCATGTATGCCCTTTCTATTTTCTTCTTCTGTTTGCCACCTGCATATAGGAAATTATACGGCTCCACTTACATCATTAAAGCCAGCGTTTCTCATGTCGATCTGTTTGGTGTGTTTTGCTAGATTTCCTTTCAACCAACAGTTACACTTGACCAGCACAGATAGAGATAGCCACCGCCGGCGGTCCAGCCCGCTCTCTTCACAGCTACCACCTGAATCTCCGCGAAATACTTCGGACCAGCAGCACCGAATCGACCAAGGCGAATCCCTATTATCTGACAATAACTGCGCCAAATATACCCGAAGATGGGGTGACTACGGCTGTAATATTTCTCTACGCAGCCAAGAGACCTGGGCATCAATGCTTGACTAGACATGGCCTGCGCAAGGGAGGCTCTGGCACCCCAAAGCTGTGGGTATACTTGTAAGATTGATGATACGGATACCGGTAGGCTACAGTGTAGGACTCGTCATGGCATAGACAGTACAACTACCGTAGCCAATCTTGACCACCCGTTTGTTCCAGAATACGGGCTGAATATACTCGGGCTCCTACCCAAAAAAGAAGAAGAAAAGAACGCTCTATCAGCACCTAACCCAGACCACTCGCCAATATACTCCTAATATTGTTCGTATTGAGAACCAATCACCCAAGTGGACGAGAATGTGCTTGATAATACCGCTCCATATTCATGTGCCCGCCCGCCGTGACTCAGGAAGGGTGCGGGAGCCCAAAAGCCACTTAGGTAATCATGTCGCTAAGCGGGGCGGATATCCTTTGTCGTTGTCCGTAGTCACCATTGACCTTATCTCCGATGTCCAACGGCGAATAGGATCTTGAAATCGAAATGCCAAAAGTCGCACGACCCACCAACTGCTCACCACCTCCCGTACCCACTCTGTACCCACTCCGTACTTACGGACCTACCGTATCCTTGCCCGTTTGGAAAGTCCGATCACCTAGCAAGACCTGGATCAAGTACCTACCCCCCCGGGCGTTTTTGGACTTTTATCAATTAAGTAATAACATTTTACCTTCAACGGGCGCATTTCCGGTTTCTTTTCATTTGGAGCTTTCACCCCATCACTTTGTTCATCCAAGCCCTCCCATGGGCTTGTCGTCATCAATCCCTTCGTACCATTCCTTGTTCTCCCAGGCTATCAACTGTCAACTCGAAAACAAACTTCTTCTCTCACCATTGAGCGCACCGCACATTCAATCATGTCTGAGAAGGCAGCTTACGAATCATCGCCTATGGCACTGGAGGAGTCTCCGGTCGGCCCCTCGAACAACACTGCGCGAACCTCAGTCAATACGGCTGCTGATCCAGAAGCTCAGAGGGAGAGTGCGCGGAGCGCAAATCCAAATGGCTTCTCCAGCACAAGTTCTGCGATCAATGTGAAGGCTTCCGAGGCGGAGTTCGCTGCGCTGCAGAAGGAGCTGTCTGGCATCTCGGAAAACAGTAGACGACTTTCGAGAATACAGTCAAACAAATCGAAGAAGGAGACCAGCGAAAAGGATGTGGAGAAGCATGCGTCTGAAGACTCGGCGACCGAGGGGGAGCCCTTCGACCTCGAAGCGACGCTGCATGGTAACTATACAGCAGAACAGGAATCCGGTATTCGACCGAAGCACATCGGCGTAATTTGGGAGAATTTGACGGTTTCGGGGCAAGGTGGAGTCACGAATTTCGTGAAGACGTTCCCCGATTCCTTTATCAGCTTCTTCAACGTTGTCGAAACAGCTATGAATATTTTCGGCATTGGCAAAAAAGGACGAGAGGTGAATATTCTCAAGAACTTCAGGGGCCTTGTACACCCTGGCGAGATGGTTCTGGTCCTAGGGAGACCTGGTTCGGGATGCACCACTTTTCTAAAGGTGATTGCCAATCAGCGATTTGGATACACTGGTGTAGACGGCGAGGTTCTCTACGGCCCCTTTGATGCTGCGACTTTTGCGAAAAACTACCGAGGAGAGGCAGTCTATAATCAAGAGGACGATGTCCACCACCCAACCTTGACGGTTGGCCAGACATTGGGCTTCGCTTTAGACGTCAAGACTCCAGGCAAGCGCCCGCATGGAATGTCGAAGGAGGAATTCAAGGACAAGGTCATTACGACGCTCCTGAAGATGTTCAATATTGAGCACACCCGAAACACCATCGTGGGAAACCCGTTCGTCCGAGGTGTCTCTGGAGGGGAGAGAAAGCGTGTTTCCATTGCTGAGATGATGGTTACTGCTGGGACCGTCTGCGCATGGGACAACTCGACTCGTGGTTTGGATGCTTCGACGGCTCTCGATTACGCCAAGTCTCTCAGGGTCATGACGAACATCTACAAGACGACTACTTTCGTGTCGCTATACCAAGCCAGTGAGAACATTTACAAGCAATTCGACAAGGTTCTCGTCATCGATGATGGCCGTGAGGTGTACTTTGGGCCAACCACGGAGGCTAGAGCCTACTTCGAAGGGCTTGGATTCAAGGAGAAGCCCCGTCAAACATCCGCCGATTACCTGACAGGTTGCACTGATGAGTTTGAGAGAGAGTACGCTGAGGGTCATTCGGCTGATAATGCTCCGCACAGCCCCGATACCCTGGCTGAAGCTTTCAACTCGTCTAGATTCGCAACAAGCCTTAGCGAGGAGATGGCCCAATACCGCAAATCTCTGGCAGAGGACAAGCAGAGACAAGAAGACTTCACAACCGCGGTACACGACAGCAAGCGCAAAGGGGCCTCCAAATCTGTTTACAGCATCCCATTCTACCTGCAAGTCTGGTCACTTATGCAACGCCAGTATCTAATTAAATGGCAAGACAAGTTCTCCCTTGTTGTAAGCTGGGTTACAAGTATCGTTATTGCCATCGTTCTAGGAACAGTGTGGCTGGATTTGCCTGTAACATCTGCCGGTGCTTTCACTCGGGGTGGTCTCCTCTTCATTAGTTTGCTGTTCAACGCCTTCCAAGCCTTCTCTGAGCTTGCGAGTACCATGACTGGGCGCCCGATCGTGAATAAGCACAAAGCGTATACGTTTCATAGACCTTCAGCTCTCTGGATTGCGCAAATTCTCGTCGATCTGGTTTTCTCAGCCGCTCAGATCTTGGTCTTCTGCATTATCGTTTACTTTATGTGTGGGCTAGTCCGAAATGCCGGTGCCTTCTTTACGTTTTACGTTGTTATCGTTAGTGGCTACTTGGCTATGACTTTGTTCTTCCGAACTATCGGCTGCCTCTGTGTAGACTTCGACTACGCCATTAAGTTTGGTGCCACGATTATCACATTATTCGTCATTACATCCGGATACCTCATCCAATATCAATCCGAAAAGGTCTGGATTCGATGGATCTACTGGATTAATGCCCTTGGTCTCGGTTTCAGCGCTCTGATGGAGAACGAGTTCGGTCGCTTGACTCTGACTTGCACCGGAGAGTCTTTGGTACCATCCGGTACTGGGTACGGTAATGCCAGCATTGAAAATCAAGTCTGTACGCTCCCAGGAAGCGTTGCTGGAACAGATCAAGTCTCTGGATCACAATACATCATCGACGGCTTCTCGTACAACCCCTCTGACCTGTGGCGCAACTTTGGCATCATTATCGCTTTGATTATTGGGTTCTTGTTTGCAAACGCCACTCTGGGAGAATGGCTTACTTTCGGCGCCGGAGGAAACACCGCCAAGGTCTTCCAGAAGCCCAACAAGGAGCGAAACGACCTCAACGCTGCACTCATTGCGAAACGTGATCAACGACGAACGACCAAGGGAGAGGCTGAAGGATCCGAAATCAATATCACATCGAAAGCGGTACTGACGTGGGAAGGACTCAACTACGATGTCCCAACTCCATCGGGACAATTGCGCCTCCTCAACAACATCTACGGATACGTTCAACCTGGAGAACTCACAGCACTCATGGGTGCTAGTGGGGCGGGCAAAACGGTAGGCTGAATTTCACATTTTGCAACTATTTTCGTGATTGTTTGCATTGCAGAATATGGGAAACGATTATCACCGAACCTTCAGTATAAAGTCTCCTATCTTGCCATTTAACTTCTCAAAATCTTCCCATACGCACTTTCAGCTATTCCACTCTTTATTATAGAGCTACGAAACTTTCCGTATCAGGGTTATGTTGCTTTGCGAGCTGACACAAATATCACAGACCCTCTTAGATACGCTAGCCGCAAGAAAGAACATCGGTGTCATCTCTGGTGATATCCTGGTCGACGGCATTGCTCCTGGTACTGCCTTCCAGCGAGGAACCTCCTATGCCGAACAACTGGATGTCCACGAGCCTACTCAAACAGTCCGCGAAGCCCTACGGTTCTCAGCCGACCTTCGTCAACCATTCGATGTACCCCAAGCCGAGAAGTACGCCTACGTTGAGGAAGTTCTCAGTCTGTTGGAAATGGAAGATATAGCCGATGCAATCATTGGAGACCCCGAATCTGGTCTAGCTGTCGAACAACGCAAAAGAGTCACCATTGGTGTTGAGCTCGCTGCTAAGCCCGAACTCCTCCTCTTTCTGGATGAACCTACCTCTGGTCTTGACTCCCAGTCGGCCTTTAACATTGTTCGGTTCTTGAAGAAGCTCGCAAGCGCTGGACAGGCTATCCTGTGTACTATTCATCAACCGAATGCCGCGCTGTTCGAGAACTTCGATCGCCTCTTGCTCCTCCAGAGAGGTGGACAGACTGTGTACTTCGGAGAAATCGGAAAGGATGCCTGTGTACTGATTGACTACCTGCGCAAACACGGTGCTGAATGCCCTCCCGATGCTAACCCTGCTGAGTACATGTTGGATGCTATAGGAGCTGGACAAGCGCCAAGGGTTGGAAACCGAGACTGGGCAGAGATTTTTGCCCAATCCCCGGAGCTCGCTAACATAAAAGCCCGCATTTCTCAAATGAAAGCCCAGCGTCTCTCGGAGGTCGGCGCTAATGCAAAGAATGATCAACGAGAGTATGCAACACCACTCATGCACCAACTCAAGGTCGTAAGAAAGCGAACGAACCTCTCTTTCTGGAGATCTCCCAACTACGGTTTCACTCGCCTCTTCAACCATGTCATCATTGCTCTGATCACCGGTCTTGCCTTTCTCCACCTCGACGACTCTCGTGAATCTCTGCAGTACAGAGTCTTCGTTATCTTCCAGGTCACGGTACTCCCAGCTTTGATCCTGGCACAAGTGGAACCCAAGTACGCCATGTCACGCATGATCTTTTACCGCGAAGCCTCCTCGAAAATGTACGGCCAATTTGCTTTCGCTTCGTCTCTCGTCGTTGCCGAAATGCCTTACAGTATCATCTGCGCCGTAAGCTTCTTCTTGCCTATCTACTACATGCCAGGCTTCCAAAGCGACAGCTCTCGCGCTGGTTATCAATTCCTCATGGTGCTCGCCACCGAGCTTTTTTCCGTCACATTAGGTCAGATGGTGGCAGCTGTTACACCCAGCCCTTTCATCTCCGCCCTCCTCAACCCCTTCATCATCATCACCTTCGCCCTCTTCTGCGGCGTCACCATCCCGAAGCCGCAGATTCCCAAGTTCTGGCGTGCATGGCTTTATGAACTCGATCCCTTCACGCGTCTGATCGGTGGCATGGTCGTAACTGAACTGCACAACCGGAATGTGAATTGCAACGACGCCGAACTGAATCGATTCCCTGCTCCTACTGGCCAGAACTGCGGAGAATACATGAGCAACTTTTTTGCTGCCGGCGGGCCTGGATACATTGTTAACAATGCGACCGACGCGTGCGAGTACTGCGCCTACAAGGTCGGGGATCAGTTCTACTCGTCGCTTGGCCTGGAATTCAATAACCGGTGGAGAGATCTAGGGATCCTGGTTGCTTTCATCGGAAGTAATCTGGTGTTCCTGTTCTTGGGTGTAAGTGCTTCGCCCCTATCCTGGCATATGTCAAGTTCGATGCTGACTATTCAATAGTCGAGATACCTCAACTTCAATCGCAGATAGATAGATACATGATGATGGCTTTGCATTGCCAGACGGGGAAGAAAAACTTCCGCCCATTGTGGGATTATTTACTTTTTTGGCCTCTCGAGCCATTTATTGATGATACCTATTATAGTTTTTATTTATTGTCATAGTCAGCGCTGTAGAATGAGGCGAATTACCTGTACAGCCAGGCAGAAGAAGGCGCTGCATTAATTAGAAGGTAAAAGATCTGTCTATTTTTCGTGTATTTAGTTTGTATTCTTGAAGCCGTTTCGATTCTCGTTCTAGGCTCCTCGGCTCACCATCGAGCGGCTCCCCGAGCTCCAATACACACACACATATTGACATAAATATTGATATAAATATTGATATAAATATTGACATCGGCTGTATGCCCAGATCTTTCCTTTTATACTACCTACTCCATCCTGCAGAGTGCCCCATCGCCTAGATAAGATGGATGGGATACGTAGTATATGGCTTATAGTGGAAACCAAACTTTTGAGGCACCCTCAAGGGTAATACTCTCCCCCCCCCCCCCCCATG